AGATCTTACATCTCCAGTGGTGAATGACCTCATCTCCCGAGTGTGGGTGCCGCGTCTCCCGCTGGAGATGCGGTGGCATCTCCAAAATCTTGGATATGTGACACTACTCAAATCAATAGACGATAATTTTTTCATCGGACTATTAACATTTCTTCTCTGAGTTCGAGAATGATGTTGAAACGCTCTATAATTATCAGCAAACTAATGGAATACTTTTTTTTATCCTATTAGTAATTATTATTTATTCACGAAATGTTTCTTTTTGGAATATTTCATTATGACGAATATTCAAAAGAATAGTAACATCTAGTTAAAGAAAATAGATGATATAAAGTTCTACCGTAATCACACATAGTCCCGTATATTCTTAGCAGTTTCAAAAACTAAACTTAAAATACAATTCAGTCCTTTGGATAATAAAAAGTCAGATCATAACCTTTTAACTTTGGCACAACTATCCACAAGACAAATTCTAATTTAAAAGCGTTTCAAATCTCATATTGCTAGTGGACTCTGAAAAGTACCTCGGCTTATAAGATTTAATTAAGGATACCTTCCTCTTCTAAACTATTTATTTCTGATTCTTTGCGAAAATACACCCGATCGGGCTTAAATTTTTGGCCATAGCTAGAGTATCGAAAACATTGGTCTCATTATGGTGAATAATCTAGCTACGATGAAAATTTGAACCCAATCAGTTGTACTCCCAAAGAAGAAGGGCTGGCGAGGGAGACTATCCTGGAGTCTTTTTAGTTTCCTTTCATGTAATCAAAAATGAAATCTTATGTAAGATGACCTATAGATAAGTCCTTGCAAAATATTTCAAGTGTCCTAAAAATTTTATCGATTTCTTTATCTTGAATACAATCAAACATATTATTTTATTTCAGGTCTTGAAGAAGCTGTTTATCGTAATATTGGCGCTTGTAAAGAATTGTGTGAAACAACAACATCAAGTTTTGGTCCAAATGGTTTAAATAAAATGGTTATAAATCATATAGAAAAATTATTTGTTACAAATGATGCTGCATCAATTCTACGTGAAATAGATGTTGTTCATCCAGCAGCAAAAATTTTAATGTTAGCAAGTGATATGCAAGAAAAAGAAATTGGCGATGGAACAAATTATGTTATATTATTTGGTGCTAAATTACTTGAAAATGCTGAAGGTCTTCTTCGTATGGGTTTATCACCAAGTGAAGTTATTGATGGTTTTAATTTAGCATTAAAAAGAACACTTGAATTATTACCAACATTCGAAATTAAAGTTAATTTAACAAAAGAAAATTTACGTGATAATGAACAAATTGTTTGTAAAGTTCTTCAAACAGCTATTGGAAGTAAATTATTTGGCTATCATGAATTTTTAGGTGATTTAGTAACAAAAGCATGTTTAACTGTAACAGGAAGTGATTCAACAAGTTCATTTAATGTTGATAATGTTCGTATATGTAAAATCTTAGGTGGAGGTTTATTTCAATCAACAATGATACCAGGCATGGTAATAAAACGTGAAGTTGAATCAGAAATAACAAAAGTTAATCAAGCACGTATAGCTGCATTTAGCTGTCCGATTGATATTCAAGTAACAGAAACCAAAGGAACAGTTTTATTAAAATCAGCTGATGAATTATTAGCTTTTTCAAAAGATGAAGAAGCAAGTATTGAAACACACATCAAATCTTTAGCTGATGCTGGTATTAATGTTATTGTTAGTGGAGGTAAAGTAGGTGAAATGGCATTACACTTTTTAAATAAATATAAAATAATGGCGGTACGTTTACAATCAAAATTTGATTTACGTCGTGTTGCAAAAACAATTGATGCAGTTGTTTTACCAAAACTTCGTACACCAACACATGAAGAAATGGGTGCTTGTGATTCAATATATGTTGATGAAATTGGTGATACACATGTTATTGTTTTTAAACATGCTAAATCACATATTGCAACATTAATTTTACGTGGATCAACTGATCAAGTAAGTTTAATTTCATAAGAGAACTCTCGATTAAAAGGATTAGGGCAGCTTATCTGTTCTGATCTAGCTACATTTAGTTGTAGGATTCTTGAAAAATAGAGATTTTTCGACAAAACATTGTAGTCCCTCTCAGGTCAGGTTGAAAGTTGACTTGGAACTTTGCAAAAATAATGTTTTTAATATAATTAGTTTATTTTGAAATTTTCAGCTTTTTCTTTTTGTTACTTCTACCATGAGATACGAATATAAGTGTTACAAAATTTGTTTTTTAACACAACAACATGTTGATTATGTGTATTTCACGACAGAAGTAACGAAAAAAGCTGAAATTTTCAAAATAAACTGATTCTAGTGAAAACATTATTTGTGCGAAGTTTCAAGTCGAAACTCGATATTATATGAGTGAAGGCATGGAAAATCAGTAGAAGTTTAAAATATATAGGTTTGAGCTTGTATTGGCTGTTGAAAACTTAATCGGTTTAAAAGATAACTAATTGTTGTACAAGCTACTCTGAATGTGTCTGCATCGATGATTATTATTTGAGACGCCGTATTTCAATAGGAGATTAGATCCTTATCTTTGCACATGCATTAAAGTTGATTAATGACAAGCTCTGTTCGATAGTAAATTAAGACTCAAATAAAAAAGCCAGCAAAACAATCGTATTATTCACCAGCCGTTAGTTTTTAGTATATTACGAATAGACTTTTAGCCCTATTCTGTAGCTAAAGCTACCTCTGGAAGTATGAAACGCTTGTAGGGGCCTACTAGTAACTCTTACCTACATTGTAATAGCTACTGCTGCAGACGATGAGTCACTTGCAATCATAATCTAACGTGTAGTTAAATGTAGATGCATAGCAGCTACAATATAGATTCAGATCTCAGAAATCGATTTTGTCCTCTGGCTATCCACAGTATTCCTTGATCACAACTTCTAGCATTTCAAAAATGAAAAATACAATTTTAATCTTATTTAGATTCTTGATGATTGTGAACGAGCTGTTGATGATGCTGTTAATAATTTTAAAGCATTAACACGTGATACAATTTTATTACCAGGTGGTGGTGCAACTGAAATTGAATTAGCATCAAAACTTTCTGAATATGCTCGTACATGTCCTGGTATTGAACAATATGCTATTCAACGTTATGCTGAAACATTTGAATATATACCAAAAATTCTTGCTGAAAATTCAGGTGTTAAAAGTACAGAAATTTTAGCTAAACTTTATGTTGGTCATCATGATAATCCAAATTTGGGTTTTGTTGTTGGACAAGCACCATCAGATATAACACAATCAAATGATATAATATATGACACAGGTGATGTTAAATTAAGTGAATTATATGATTTATATATAACAAAAAAATGGGCCATTTTATTTGCAACAAAAGCTGCATGTACGGTTTTAAGTGTTGATGAAATTATTTGTGCTAAACCAGCTGGTGGACCAAAACCAAAAGAGAATAAAGGATGGGATAATGACGATTAAATGAACAATAAATGATTATGAACAATTAGACAACAAAAATTTGCCGTGTGTGTGTGCGTGCGCAAGTGATGCTTCCGAAACGGATGAATGACCTTGTTATTGTTGTTGTTGTGTTTTTAAAGTTATTACTTTCTTTCGTTTTCTTTTCTATTAATCTTTCGCACTGTTCTAGAACATCATGTCATCACTTATTATCTTTTTTCTCTTTTGGTTTGTTCTAGAAAAACATTTTTAAACATCGACGAAATAAAATACTTTTACCCTATTAAACGAGAGTTATATAGGTAAGCATATAATGTTATTTCAGGAAAAGAAAGAAATATGATAGTTTTTATGATTAAAATTGATTCTTTATAAAATGAAGATTTGAGTGTAATCGAACATATATCTTCGTTTGAATTTATATTTTAATTAGAAAAGTTTAGAATGCCAACAGTTGTTCATATATGTCCTTGATAAGATCTTATTTTGTATGTTACAATGCTTCTAAATTGGAATAAATATGTGATGAGATTCATTGAACTTTTGTAGTAAAGAAAAACGATGTGTGATAGGTATGGTTGTGAAATCAAGAATGTATTACTTAAGCATGTGGAAATCATAATGTGACAACAGACCTCATGAGGAAACGTTCCTAATTGTCGAATAACTTTTCACTTGAGACTACAACCATTCAATTGGTTATGATGATTTACAGACGTTTTGCTTGATTTTCCCCTCATGAACATAGAATTGTTGAGAACCAGGATGATCGAGCTATGTCCACAGATAGACCTTATAGTCACTAAAAACATCCTCGAAACTTTGAGTTAGGACAAATGTAGCTATATCAAAATACTAGTTTGTCATAGAAATGTCCTATTCAAATACAGAATCAGTGAAGATTGAAAAACCAAAGCAAAACAAACTTTTTCATTAATCAATCGAATAGCATATGTCTGAAGCGAAAAGCGATGAAACAGTTAAGAATATTCTTTCGTTAGTTACAATCTTTTTTAATCAATATATGAAATTAAACGGCATCGAATTGCTGACAATGTTTTATTGTAAGTTTTGATATACATGAGAAAACTTTTACAAATGCATTTCAGTTCGATAGTTTTTTGTCAATGAATCAAATTAAAGATCAGTTATTGAGGTCTAAAAGAAAAAACTTCATGCATTCATCATATCGAAAAAATCATAATTTTATTAAAATTAAATTGTAATTATTGAATAGTTAAACTAAATATTTTCAACATAGACAAAATGTTTTGTCAGATGAATTGAAGTTGAATAATATGTTTTCTGTTTCAGTGAATAAGGATTAATCCAAAAAAAAAAATCTTCATGAAACTCACAGAAGTCTAGCATAAATAATAGCGAACAAAACAAGATATTGTTCAAAAAATTTTCTACCATTCCAATTTAATAATAAATAAGAATATAATAAGCTTTCAATTTTTTTCTCCGTTGCTAAGTCTTTTATTAATATAATTTCTTCTTCTTTTTGTGCTCTAACAGAAAACAAAAAATAATCGCAATGTCTACTAATCAAACTACAACTAATGATGATGAAGAAGAAATAGTAACATGTAGTGAATTACTTGAACAAATCGATGATGAAGAAGCCGAATTAGATCGGGAACGTGCACTATATGGTAATTGTGATACGGATACATGTACATATCCACAGGTAACATATGAAAAATAATCATAAGAAAAACTAAAAATTTATTTCTTGTTCAGGGATATGTACAAAGACAAGCTTTATTTGTTTGTATGACATGTTATAATAATGGTAATGGACAATTAGCTGGTATTTGTGCAGCATGTGCATTTCATTGTCATAGTAATCATGAAATTAATGAACTATATACACGACGGTAAAATTCTTTGAATATTAAATAAAATATTAAAAAAAAAACTTTCTAGATTTTTTCGATGTGATTGTGGAAATTCAAAATTAAGTCATCAACCATGTAAACTCTATCCAGTAAGATATATTTGTTTTAAACTTAATAACACTATGAAGCACGTTTTGAAAGGGGTGTTGAAGTATAGGGATTCAAATGTGTATCTTTCCTCACAAACGTTAGTAGGACACTATTACAGGCATCTTACCAACACTTCTCTCTCTTCTCCCACAGTGTGTATTACGTAGAGATTTAGCTAAAAATGAAAATCGTATTTTTTTTAACATTTAAATGTAGGAAAATAAACTTCTAATTATAGTCTATTTAATGGTATTAATACCTTTCTTACAACCCCCCAAAAAAACTGAAAAACCAGTTGCCTAGAAATTAGATTGAAAATCGTGATGTCATAGGGAAAATTTATATCTGACAAAATTAAGCTGGTTAACAAATCGAATCAAATACTTTTTCTGAATCTACAAGCCGAGCTCTATACAATCGCATACCATATACTGAACAATCCATCCATATTCAATCTTCAAACTTTTCCAAATTTTGCCGTAATGTTTTTCTATTTACTATCTCTAATCCCTCTTAACATAAACATTCCTGGACTGCACAATGAGTTTCGAAAAAAACCTAGGTTTTTCAGGTTTTCTAGATTTGGAAAAATATTTAATCTACAAAATGAATATATTTTCAATCAGCGGATTAAACTACATCAAACGATGTATAGTACAAAGTCATTTTGAAGAAAAAACATTTTCTTGAAAAATTGTTTTTTAAACAGCTTTCTGCATCATATCTAATCATTTCTGAGAAAATAAACGCGTTTTAGAGCACAAGAATCACATGTTCACCTGCCATACAAAAAATGTGCAGTGTACCTTCTCGACCACGTCATAGACCGTATATCAATAGCGTCTCATACTATATGAACTACTGATTTATTGTATTTGGGAAGGTTTAAGGAAAAGTTTGGTAAAGAAATTTTTTCCTAAAATAAATATTATAAAAAAACTTTCCTTGCCATAGGCAATAGCAGCTACATCATGTTTCATATTTTAATCCCATCGAGATTGTGCTAATAACTTTTTATTGTAAGATATATTTTGCTTTAGAATAAAGATCCGGCAAATACAGCTAATAAATATGATGATAATTTTCGTGGTTTGTATTGTACATGCAAACGTCCTTATCCAGATAAAGAATCACCGGTAAATAGTTTGTTTATTGAAATTAAAAATAAGTTTTCTTGCTTATTGTTTCTGTAATAGACAGCTGATGATGCAATGATTCAATGCATGATATGTGAAGATTGGTTTCACAGTCAAGTAAATAACACTTCTATTAGATTTTTTATTAATAAATTTCAATATATTATTATATTTTAAGCATTTGGGTGTTGCATTACCGATGGAAGAAAATGAAGCTGATCAATTGGATATGATATGTCAAGCATGTATAGTGAAATATCCATTTTTAATTCATTATGATGGTAAAATAAATATTTATTTAATAAGAAACATTATTGTTTTTCTTCTAGAATCTCTTACTATTACTGCGCCTCCAATAGAAGACAATGCCGGTAAATATTTAGGTTATTTTAATTTTATTAAATCTATTATTTGCTTTTGTTAATTTAGCTGCTAGTAATAGTCCAGCATGTTTGCTTGTTTCAAATAATAATAATAGCAATGAGCTTCATACAATCTTTTTACGTGATGGTTGGCGAAAACGATTATGTCGTTGTCCTCAATGTCGTGTAAGTTATGTTTATTTTTTAATCTTATTTTTTTTTTTTAATTTTTAATATAATTAGAAATTATATGATGATTCAAATCTTACGGTCGTATTTAATGATGATGATGCTATTCAAGAATATGAAAAACAAGCATTAGCAAAGAGTGAAAATCTTGATGCAGATAAATTATTAACAGATTCATTACAAAAACTTGATCATGTCAAAAAATTGGAAGTTTTACATGGTAAGAAAGAAAAAAAATAAAACATTCATTCGACTATGTTTTAAATTTTAAGGTATTAATGAATTTAAAAAATCACTTGGTGATTTTCTTCGTGATAAAGCAAATGGTGATGGAATATTAACAGCTAATGATGTAACAACATTCTTTGCTGGATTACAAGAAAAACGTAAAGAACAAAAACGTACAACATTTATTCCTCCTGATAATTGTAAATTTTAATATTTCGAAAAAAGAAAACATATGTATCATATATATATTTTGTTGTTGTTAATTTCATCTATTGTCAGTCTTTCTCATACTATATTAAATAAACATGAAATGTTGATATTAGCAAGAAATAATGTTCAAAGAATATTTTCACTAATCAACATCGTTTGTAGAAATATTCACAATTATCTCGTGAGAAAAAATCCACAAGTGTAATTCGCTAGTCGAACTCATATTCTCCTCATTGATAGATCCTTACGAAACTAACGGAAGTCTATAGGGGTGCATTTCATTGTACTGTTCTTTTCAAGTTGATACATTTTTGCTAAATTATAATTATCTCCGGCAAGGTATTTGTAGAAGAAAATGTTAAGATCTACGAGACCTACTTATGGGCAAAATGTCAGTTCCATTAACAATTCATACTTGGGGACGTGTCCTTGTCAATGTCAGTAGCAGTTTTGTTTTCTCGCTGATTTTGCATTTTCTATTTATTACTACCAGCAGCTAATGTTAAAGAAAAAACTATAATCTACATAGGAAAAATACTATTTCACAAAGAATATGTTGATGTAAACTAGTAATTTCGTATTGATTCGATAGAGGAAAAAAATATCGAAAGTATACTCCACGTCTTTTCAAACAAAGTATGAAAGAATAGATGTTTTTGTAATTGATCTGTCAGTAATCAACATTTACACAAAGTTTGTAATAAATAACCTGATAAACAATATCCAAAGCTTTTATAAATCATTTCATTCTAATTAGAACATCATAGCATTATTCCATAGATATGTAACCAGACAAACACTTCAATGGTGTTTGCTGAATGATTTTGGGCCAAATAGCGAGGAAAAAAGTCTTGTAATTGATTCATATAGTGTGCAAAAGAATTTAAAATATTCAATCCAATTTGTCTCAATTCTAGATCAATAAACAAGTATGAAATTTCAATACACTTTTATCGTGAAATTAAATCTATGAAGAGAAATTTATGCGAGAAAAGTCAGAAAACATTCTGAGACATTTATCGGTAGAGCCCATCGAATTGTTTCCAATTCTTGTGGGCCCTGAATCCGAAAACTTTAGATTCAATGAGCTCTACTGATTAATACTCATTAACGCGACTCTTTTGGAGAAATATATTTTTATATTAAAATCATGACATTTTTTAATTGACATCCAATCAAATATCATTCGTTTGCATATGATTTTAATCGAAATATTTGATTCATTTCTTAGTGGCAGATCAGTTACTTTCTTAAAATATAATTGTTTAATCAGAAATGAAAGATTTTATAAGGATATGATAGTGTTATAAACACTACTCCATTCATTCTAAAATGTTTTCACATTTATCCTTCGTGCACAAAATATGCAGGGTTCCTTTAAAATAAAATATTTGCTATTTTACTACACCGACGTGATTGGGTACTTTTGTAAATATTTGCAACACTCATCGTCAATATTTAACTGATTGAAAAGTATTGAATGCATGTAGACATTTAGATATACGAGAAATATTTGGAAAAACAAAAATAGATAATAGAAACCTATTAACATGAATGCCTGACCATCATGCCAGAGCATGAAAATACGAAATTGCTAAAACACGTGAGTTTAGAGGTAGTTGACGTGCTGAACTCTACTGAGAAATGAAGAAATATAAAGTTTTGTTCGAATGTGATCATTATAGATTGCTAACTATTTGACCAAATAACGATATTCTCTTATCTAACGTACTGACATACCCAAAAAAATTTGTAGAATCAACAGCTTTGCTGCTTCATTATTTCTATAAAGAGGGTCAAAGACTTTCTGATATTCAAACCTCTTTTTAAACGAAATTCAATGGTTTGTAAGAGGAAGGGAAGGGCTTAGAGACCGTTCTAGCCTTTGTCTATATACACCATTGGTAGAATAGTCGAAAACGTTTTTTCCGATTTCTTTCAAAATGTAACTGTCTTCCATTTAATTCCGATGGCTAAGATAAAAAATTGTTCCGTATCTTAATCATTACGTATCTGACATAAAATATGCAGTGCTGTGAAAAAATATTGAATCACTTAGAACTTTTAAAAGTTTTCTTCCTTTGCTATTTTCCATATTTATTGAGCGTTCTACCACGAACCAAAATACATTGTTTTATACGGCGTGGCAAAGAATTCACTAGTTGCTGATATCATTCTGCTGTTATACTACGGCATAAATCTTCAATCATTGTTTATAATTGTCCAACATTCGTTGGTTTCGACTTTTAATTGTTTTTATACATCAAGGATCATTCGATCTTTCATTATAGACTATAAATGGATCATGAGTACTTCCTGACGTGCATTCTCACATGCTAACACTGTCACCATCTGCGTACACGCACGGAAATTGAATGATCCATTAATTTTTGATTTTAAACGACGGAAAAAGGGCCACTGCCACAATTTAATACTTCAAAATGTACCTCGTTACTCCAGATAATATTATTCCATTCATTTCACTCATATTGATGGTCTTTAACAAATGTTAGACATTGTTTAATTTGAGCAGATTTTCTAAAACGCTCCCGTTTAGATGTGTAATTTTTATCACTCATACTTATTAAACGACGACGCATAGCATAAGAACATAATTATTTACCTTTCGATATACTTCCCTCGATTGCTAATATTTGACTAAATTTTGTTCGACCTTCCTTCATCATTTGTAATAATTGACGATCATGAGTTGGTTATATTACTTTTTTCGTACCCTGACCAACTGAATTCGATAAGGTTAAATTCTACTGTAGTTGGTTTCAGACGACAAAAACACATTTTTATGACACATTTGATAACTACGCAATTTATCAGTGTCTCAAATCTGCTTCTATTAATTAATGTTTCGATTTCGATTTTTTTCTGAGGAATTATTTTGACTCAACTCATACTTATCTTTACAATAAGTAATAAAAAAAAAACAGGTGAAAAATCGATCTAAAACAAGTAAAATAAGTATAGAGTACTTGTGACTATGTGAATGTTAGGTTTATACTGTTTAGAACCCTAATACACAACGAAAACCTAGACATAGCTCTAAGTGATTCTATAGTTTTTCATGAGCAAAAATGTCAATTATTTTTTAAAATTTTTGTAATGATAACTATGTGATATATGTAGTGAAGAATAATATTCTAGCGAAGCGAAAGTTAGATGGTTATTCTATAATTTTTCACAGCTCTGTAATTTGTACGGATTCAAAAAAACTGAACATAGTTATGAAACAAAATTAATAGAATATATACTGAAAGACACTTCTGATCATTTCATACGATGAAGAACATACTCTCAAAATTGTTCCATCAATTTACATTCTTTGACGTATTCTTGGCTTTCTCAATTGATAAGACAAGAGTCTTGTCTGGCCTTCAACACACTTGTTACGTGATAGCTATTTATACAAATGTATTGATATGATCATCTGAATGTTATTTATTCATTTGTACATGACATCAGTTACTAGCCATAAGTCTATACATCAATAGGTCGTACAGTTTCGGCAATAATTGTAAAAATTTCACAAAAATCTTTGACTACTATATGACTTTGCTCTTTGCTATAAGCATGGTATCGTGAGAGCTCATCACGGGCATACATGATCACTTATTATGTCTCTATATGTGAACGAAGTCTTTCAATACTTTTACCAGATAATAAGCTCATTAAATGACAATTTCATCAAGGTTCTACCAACTAGCTCGAGTGTCTCTGTAATAGGAAAAGAAATTTATTGGATAGAACACAAAAAAAAAAAACTTATAGTGTCACACAAAAGTTTAGAGCAAGCGTATTTTTTATTTTTTTCTCGATAATAATGGCTAGGAAAAATTTGAGAAAAAAAAACATTTATGTAACTGAAAAAATTCTTTATTAAGATTGGTTGACTCAAAGACTCCTATAAAACTTCTTGGATGAAAGCCTGTGGAAAACCAAGATATTCAAAATCAGCTTTTTGACTTCCATTCGAAGCTTTTGGGAAAAGATTTTATTTGATAAAAGCAACATGAAACGTCTCCAACTTTCTCATAATCTTCCTTCATTGAATTACATTCAATTTACAGAAGATGAAAGACGCATTTGTCTCTTTTTATTGAAAATTTCAATGTTTTTGCCATGTTTGATGCTTTTGTGTCTTCTATACAGCGAATGCAGTTCGATTAAAAAATAGCATGGAGAAATGAAAGACGTCTTTTGTTGCTCAAAATCATTTTCTCTATCTCATAAAATCTTTCACCAACAGCTTTAAATGAAAGCGAAAAGGCCGATTTTGGAATGTTATCTTTTTGCACACCTTCGTCCAAGCAGTCTTATTGACGTCTTAGAGACTACAATCTTGATAGAGGATACTTTCAGCAATATAAGCGTTTTTTCAGCTATTTACTAGCTATTATGATTGAGAAAAAAACTTAAAAATACAACTGCTCGAAACTTATTTTTACCTCAATAGATCTCTGCTCTTTGAAATAAAAAGTTATTCACTTTTGGCTAAAAATGAGTTATAGGTATTGTCGTGACGCATTCATATTCATCAATGTGATACTTTACCGATATAAATAAGTTTCTTAAGAAACGACAAAACTTTGTGTCTCTTATCATGATTACGTGGCCTACAACAAGTATCTGTGGATTTTCGTAAAAGGAATGTTTGTTAATAGAAAAAATAAAAGCCTATAATAAATATTGAATTTTGGCATTTCTGGAATGGATCTCTTTCTATAACATTTACGTTTCTATGAAAAATCGTGACTAAGGAAAGTAAAAAATGCATTATTCTGTACTATCGGCACTCCTCTACAAGATGATTGCATGGGTTTTGATAAGCTGATTAGGTCAACTTTGCCCAATCAGACCAACCATTGTGAGAACAGGGCGTTCATGTAAAAGAATTAGGAAATGATGATCATCTTATTTTATACTTAACATGCAGTTTTTCCAAGTAACACTGTTGGTTGTCTAGCAATAAGAGTATTTCAGTTTTGTATATCTTCTATGTTCAAGAAGGAGTTCACCTAATAGAGGTAGTTTTCTTCATGTGTATTTTTATGAATTGATTAATTGTTATCAATTCGACATTGTCCTTCAGTAGAATTAGATACATAATTGATAACAGATTTTCAAAAGTGTGACCAAACTATTTACATAAAAGTCTACATATATCTATTACATAAATGTATCAATACCTAATATAAATGAACATATGCAGGAAGCAACTTAAAACCCCAAGTCAAACACATCGAGTCTGAAGTCTAAAGGTGACTTGATGACAACTTACTTGTAATCTTCTATCGGTCATTGTAGTACTTATTTTCTGTAAGCTGAAACTGAAATTTGATCGAATATGTGGACGAAAAGTACTGAAAATCAACAAATATCAATCGTTGACAATTAAGATATGACTATGATGACTCAAAAAATAAACAAACTTGGCAGACACTTTCAAGCAAGTACAATTAGATACATCTTATTGCGGCAGGTTGTTTTTTTTCTTTAATTTCTATTCATTTTTTCCCTTCATCTATGAATAACGACATAATTATGAAAGAACAAGGAATTTTTTTCTATCTTTTTGAAGATTTTCAATGTTAAACTAACGACATAATAGTATTTAGTTACAAAACAATGAAAAGGTAGAAAGCATAAAGATATACTAAAACGTTTTATGATGTGTAATTAATATTTCATTATATTCACTATTCTTTTATTCATCAAATAAGTAGCATAAAACTCTTTGCCATATAGAAACATATTTCCTCAACACAATAACTAATTATATTTTGCTCTATTAATCATCTGACATCAATCTGAATAGTAAGTACATTCGAGGAAACTGCGATTATTTCAGATAAAACGATCATTCAACTTACACCTGACATCAAATCAACATCAGAAGAAACAATAGTAGAAGACACAACATCTCTAATAGTTGGAACCAGTGTTAAGATAGACTCTTATTATGCATCGTTAACCACGACTACGATTGAATTAATTTCAACAGAAGAGTCATCTGAAATAATCACAAGTGTTATTCAGAAAACCACCATTCTTACTGCTGCTGAAATCACATCAATCTCATTACAAGAGACATCTGAACAACGTACGAGTGCTAGAGATAACAGTACGATTACAACCACTAGTTATCTTACATCAGCCTTAGCTGACACCATAGCTGAACTAAGTACAACGATTACTTATCAAGGTACTATTGAACTTAATGATGAAAGTACAATGTACACAAAACAGGAACAGACTACATTTCTCCGAGTTGAATTATATATTCTTAATATCAGTGGAAGTTCGTGCACTAGGATTCATTAGGATTCACAGGATCTGCTTTTTCGCCCTTGTCGCCATGCTTTTCTTGTTTTTTTAAGCCAATTTTTCAGTGGTTTCACCTTTTTTCTTGATTTACTGTATCCTTCATCATCGACCAAACATTTTCGATTGGGTTTTGATCTGGGAATGAAAAGGGCTAAGACCGGATCTAAATTCGATTGTGGGTCTTTCAGTTGATTGCCAGACGAAATTTGTATTTAGTACCATCGTCTTCTTGGAAAGTTCAGCTAGCTGAACCTTGACAATTAGCTCTAGGTAGAAGATCACTCTTATATATATGCTACACATAAAATCTCTCTTGACAAACTGTGTTTGAAAGCAATGAATTCTCCGAAATCTAGTTTTGAAACACATCCTCAGATGTGCAATGTGAGACAGTATTTAACTGTACGAACAATTTTGATGACATCTAGAAATTGCCAAACGTTTTTCGCTGTCGCACTGTTTGAATGTCTTCTCATTGGTAAAAATCACGTTGTCCCAAGTGAAATTTTGGTAATGTTGAGTCCAGATGAGTTGTTGCTCACGATGTTTGTCTATGAGTAAGGGCTCTTTTAAAGGTGAATCATAACTAGCACAGCTGTAATGTAATCAAAGTCTAACAGTACTTGGATTTATATTCATGCCGTCTATTTTAAAATTTTTAAAATATCATTTGATGTAATATTCAGCTCACATTTAACAATATTAACAGTCTTGGTATCAGTTTTCTCCGACGTGGTACTTGATTGGCCAGTTCTTGATAAATTAGACAGGTCTTTACTGTGTTGTCATCTAGCAAGTCAATGCTGTAAGGCTTTTCGTTCATCACACTCAATGTATTTCGAAATAGTTTTATTTGACATTTTTGGAGTCCAGTGGTTGTAACATGAGAAACATTATTTCAAAGCGATGTGATAGAGAAAGTGGTATGTTTCAAATCTTATGTAAAAATATTGAAAGAAAAATCTATTCTTGATATTACTCTACACTTTACAATTGTTACATAAGATTGGACCATCCAAAACAACAAACAAAAATATTAGAAGCGAGAAGAGTTACTGTCTAGTGTTGAATTTATGTTATACATTAGTTCAATAATAAAAGAAAGCGGGGATGGGGAAAGCAGAATTAAAGACTTTTGCTCAGGAGTGTATTATACTAGATCAACAAACAGGAACGAAAATATTCATTCGAAAGTGTCTCATTGTTTTTTTATCTTATTTATTAACAACAATATTAAAAATTTAAATAAAAAATTGACTTGAGAAAATCGGCTGCAAAAATGAACGTTGTTGTCTGAATTTCTTGTGTTATCTCAGCAGCTTCAATGTCGACCGAAGTAAATATAACTAATTGTTTCTCTTGTTCTTTAGTTTTTACAAGCATATATCAGACCTTACCATATACTAGTAACAATATGATTACAAGTACTTCTGTTCCTTTACAACCAACTCTTAGTTATAACTCAAAACCCTGCAGTGAATCTTTTCTCTTAGAAATTAATGGAAATTGTACGCTAATTAATGAAGCACAAAGTAGAACGTTAAAATCTGCCTTAGTTCTATTTTTTTATCATAATTGTTATATCATCAGTAATTATAGCTAGTCTATCGTACAATAATAATGAATCCGAGAAAACAAAAATTTCATTATATTTTAAGAAAAATGATGATAACATAATAAATACTTCGAACAATGATTTTGTTTGTGTATATTACAATTCGAATACACTCTCATGGAACAAAACAGGTTGCACTAAACCACAATATAATTCCGCTTTCACTCGGCACGAATGTAGTTGCGATCATTTAACTTCATTCAATCTTCTCGGGTTGTCTTCAAGCATAGTTGATGCTAAATCTCAAGCAGAAAATATCGTTTCTTTGATATTCCAATCGATTTCTATAGTCTGTTTTTTAGCTTTAATCATTCATAATATTGTGACTCGTGCCATAAATTCCAATATAAAACTTAAAGCAATCAATTTACTTCCATTAATTTCAACTACAAGTACTGTCCTTCTCTTTATTTTCTATATTTCACTTGGCTTAACTGTTCACATAAAAAAACAACCGTCCGAGAAGAAAAACTGTTTTACTAAAGCTACAATCTTAATGTTTTTTGTCTATTTCTTTTTAATGTTTATGTTCTGTGCCAAAACAAATATTGGTTATTTCAATTATATTCATTTTGTTCGTCTTTTTCCACTACCATCATTCAAAAATCTTTATATTTTATTAATTATTTCATTTATATTTTCGATTATAGCTGTTGTATTTGTTATTGGCTTTAATTCAAATTCTTCATGTTATATTATTAATATTAATGCAAATAAAATTTGTTGGTTCGAACGGCCCGCTACCTATTATTTTTTGGCAATACCTGTTTGTATTTTTCTTTCAAGTATAAGTCAAGAAATTGGTTGGCTTACAGGTCCGCTTATTCTTGTTGTTGGTGATATTCCTGGTGAGATTTTAACATGGAGTTTTAATTTTTGTAATGAACTCGAAGATCTTTGGTCGATTCTTCTATATATTATCATTCGAAAAAAAAATATGGATGAACAAAAACAGGTTATTGCAACAAAAGAACTTTTGAAAAGAAAACATTTAACGACTAAGAAACATAAAAAAAATCAATGATGAGAATAATCAAACAAATGCTTATTTTTTTTTTACTAATAATATTTTTCTTGAATATTCATAAGAATTGGAAGCTTCAAAAATTGTGAATAAATCATAATCAAATATAAAAAGAAGAACTTTAAATATTTTCATACTTCTTTCATATGTGACAAATAATGACAGATAAATGTTTTCATATAGAAAAGCCGAGATTTATTTACATGATTTAGATATTATATTTTTAACGAATAAATATTATATAAAGATATTCGAAGTGGTGTTAGTACGTTAAAAGAAATTGAATCTATAGAACTCATTAATATTCCGTATAGTTGTTACTAAATAAAAGAAAAAATTTGCTAACTCAAAAATAATATAATTCAAAATTGGATTCTTCATTGAACAAGTACAGTTTCTATTGTATACTCTCTGAAATGAATAATACCCTTTGAGGACATTCACTGTGACGGACGAATTTTTAGAGCAGTGGTACTTTTGAATTGTCTTCTCGATGGTAATGGCTAACAAGAATCTGGAAAAACGTTTGAATAGCTGAAAACATTCTCTATCAGAACTTGTGGATCGAAAACTTCCAATAAAACTGTTTGAATGAGAACATCTGGAAAACTAAGACCTGCAAAACCGATTTTCTAGTATCTATTTGAAGTTTTTTGAAAATGGATTTATTTGATAGAAAAAATAATTCAGAGAAAAAAAAAGATATCTGAACTCTCTTCATAACCTTCCTTCATCGAATTTTATTCAATTTATAGATGATTCCAAAGTGTCAAACAGGTTTTTGGTGTAGGGTGTGATTATGGGTGCAATCGAACAGAAGACCTATATTCACCAATACCCTCAAGATTATCATACTCCAAAATAATTTTAGAAATTTTTTTTATATCGATATGGATAAATATATTTTATTTAAGTTTTGAAAATTTTGTTTGTTTACTTAAAATTAACTCCGTCCTTAAGGAATTAATTTGATCACATGTAATCTAGAAAAAAACTCTGCTTTTCATGATTGTCCTCAACGAATCATTCGTTGTAAATAGGTTGGTATCATCCAAAAACAAAACCTTATTTTTCAATCATATATCCTTGAAATATTTACAAAAAAGAAGGCTTCAATAATTCTTTCAATTAAAATAAGTTTAAAAGATGATTTATATAATACTAATTATTTACATTTCTAACTAAGATATGAAATCATAATTCTGAATACATCTATATCTTTATTTTCTGCTTTTTAGCCTCATTGGAATATTATTTTCCCTTTCTGCTGTGTTTCATATGACTTAAGCCAGATGCGGATAGGAGAACGAATATAATACATGAATGAGAATAAGATGTATGTGTTCAACATATAGATAAAGGCAACAAAAATAGATAGAAGAGACAAATGATAGAACAAAAAAAAATGACCGTTACAGTAACATACTATTTTTAAAGAAAGAATAGTTTTCCCCTAGTTTTTGTTTTTAAACACATAGTGTACAAACGAAAATGACATTGAGATGTTCGATACAACAGAAGACGAATATTCGTCTACGACAGAAAGAAAAAAAAAGAAAACAAGAAAGGAAATCAAGTTCATACAAACAGAACATCACACTATGAAGATCAACAAAAGGAAGAAGAATACAGCAATTGCATCAACAAAGATCGATACATTGTTGTAGTTTAATGGGAGAAATGGAATAGAACAAAGAAAACAAAAAGAAAAAAAAAACATCTGACATAACACAAAAAAAGAAAAAAAATTAAAGTTTATTTTTGTTTTTTCTCGTTCCTAAATGAACATTTTTATTTCATGAAAAAATTCTCTTGGAGAATAATTAACTAATATCCATTCGTGGATCGTCAGTTACCATTTCTAAATATAAAATATATATGTATAACCGAATAAATAAAAAGAATTGTCAAATAAAATGACCGCCCTTCATTTGAAAAGCCACCTATACCGTTTTGTAGAGAACCTCGTCATGCATCGAATGACATTTAGGGCAATTGTTTTTTTTATCAAGTTTTTATGTTCGAAGAAGCCACATACAAGTTAAGGGATATTTTAATAATTGTGAGTGATATGACTAAATACTAGAATTGAGTATGTCTTAAAACCAACCTATAACAAGTTTTATTTAAAGTTACTTCAATAGAGATTTGTCTCGTCTTCAATTGTGTATGTCTAATAATACTCACTATAACTTTCTTCATACAAAAAATCTTGACATTTTTTCCTAGGTCTTGCAATTTTTGAATTTTATGATGTACTAAATTTTTCGATATCATTCCCAAGAGTACAGGCGACCAACCATGCAGTTATCTCAGAAATCGTATGCCATCAAGTTCTATAAGTATACCAAACGATTATCCTCTGAATTGATGAGTGTCATGTCATAGTCAAATTGACCAAACAATGCCTGAAAAGAGCCAGTTTTTCAATTCCTAAGGACAGAAAAGTATATGAATTTTGCGATAAATACTATCTAAACGAAAAAATTCCTATATATTAACAATAAATTCATCATGCTACATCATTTGACAGACATGAATGTTTTAAAAATAGTAACAAGGTTTTACTCTCGGACACCTTAGTACAGAAATATGCACAATTTTTGAGTTTCGTTAGGAACTGAATATATACTGAATATAATTGAGCTCCATACTCTAATCACACCGGCAACTTAGAATTTAAATTCGTGAGGAAAAAAACTGAAGTAAGAACTAATCTTTGTAATAGTCCATTCCAGTACCTTCCTTGAAGATCAGCAAGAAAAAATGTTTTTTTACATTTTCGAAACATCCATATATGTCTAATGATAGACCATAATGAAATTATTATTAATAAATAGAAACTTTTTTACTCAAAAAGTATTTATCGCAAAAATCATATACTTTTCTGCTCTTAGGAATCGAAAAATTAGCTCTCTCTTAGCATTGATTCGTCGATTTGACTATGACGCTCATCAGTTCAGAGAACAGCAATTGGTATACTTACAGAACCTTTGACGTATGATTTCTGAAACAGTTGGGCGGTTGATCGCTTGCACCTTCGGGAACAATATTGAAGGATTTAATACATCATAATAGTCAAAAATTACAGAGCCTAGTAAAAATGCTCACACTTTTCGTACAAAATTATTTTAAGTATTACCAGATATACAACAATTGAAAACAAGATAAAACTCACTTGAAATAACTATAAACAAAATTTGGTATAGGTTAGTTTAAAGATACGTTCAATCCTAATATTTGATCATATCACTCAAAATTGCTATAATAAATGACTTCTCGGAACATAAAAACTTGATGAAAAAAGCAATATCCTATATATCATTCGATGCGACACGAGCTGCTCTACAAATGATATAAGCAACATTTCAAATAAACGATAATCATCTTATCCAGTTAGGTTCTTATATTTCAAAATTTTTTACCTCCCAATCCAAGTATTTCTTTGACCATGTCCGAGCCGATTATTAAGCTATCATCAAATTGATTACTGTTACTAGTATGAGTATTCTAAACCAAACAAGAAAATTCTTTAAAGAGAAAATCAAACAATCAAATAAAACATACTTTAATATGATCAACAACTAATGATGATGTACCAGATGAAAATTTTTTACAAAATGGACAATGATAACGATGATATTTACCAAGAGTTTCTTGAAAAATTGTTGAAACAGCTAAACAAAAAATAAAACATGTCAATATTCAAAACAAAAAATAAAATAAAATTTACAAAGATGTTTCAAATTTTTTGTATCAATATAGAGCGATAATAATCGACTTGATTTTGAATGTAATAAATTATGTTGACGCTAATTTATGAATAGAATATAAAATCAAGTTAATAAAACAAAAAATAATAACTTACTGTATACAATAAAGAATTTGATGAAAATGAACAACGATTACATTTATATAAATTTAATGGATTTTCTTTATGACACAATTGATGATGATTATATTCTAATATTGATGTTGATACATGTGGACAATTAGTACAATAAAAAACTCGAGTTTTATTTGTTTTATCATTATTTAATTGACGTTCAATAAATGACCGACGTAAATGAATTTGTTTAATTGAAAAATCAGCATCAGAATTATACTAAACAGAGTTTAACAAAAAAAAAAAGGTTTCTTTTGTTATTTCACCCACTAAAATTTACACTAAGAGTAAAAACTCAGAAAAAGAAAACATCTATGAATATAATTTATAATTCACTCGCCGATGCTATCAATAGATTTCAGAAAACTTTTTTTGAACTATAATACTTTGGCAGTTAGCAGACGTAAGACTTTATTATTGATCTAAGATAGGAAACACATTTTTTTTTTGGTAATGTAGTTTATGAGAATGTTTATCGGATGATCAGAATTTCTAAATTCATTTCAGAGAAGAGATTTGTGGTCATTGTTTTGCTATACACATTTTGTTTCTTTCTGCAAATATTATAACAATACAAAATAGTCATGTATAGTATTGGTGAATATACTGAATAGTGAGTCATTGACACAGGATTCACTGAGACATTGACTAAAGTGATATAACATTGAAGTCGAATCTTGTGAAAGGAAAGCTCGGCATATATAAAACGCAAACAAGAAGAAAACAATCCTACTCTGAACTGAAATTACACTTGTTCATTATTTGACAGATATCTTCTAGCAATAAGTTTTATTTTTACGATCTATAAACAATTACTTAAGATATACGAAAAAAAGAACTTTCGGCAGTAGTCACAATTTTTCTCATCAATCGATTTATTTACTGAACTAAGTGTGATTTAGTGAAATTTTGTTTTCAAAGATATAAAATATGATTAATTATCTTTATTTTCGGTTTTATAACTAGCATTCACTGATAATAATCAACATATCAAATTCTTCATGATACTCAAAAAGAAAAAAAAAAAGAAAATCTTTGAACTAGAGGTGCAGAAATGACGGTGATCATCGGTGCCATCATAGTCTGGTGTACTGGTCCACTATTCGTCCCTAATAGCGATGCACTGGCCTATACATGTATGTCTTTCTTGAGTAATGATGAAGACTAGACCTATATCAAACTCCAACTCCAACCCAAATCATTTGAAAGTTTGGTTTTGATGTATGTCTAGTGAAGATAGTGATCTCATGATAAATCTAGTCTATTTTTATAAAACTAAGTTATTTTCTTGAAATGACCTTCTTGACCGAAAACAATCCAAAATCACTATAGTATTACCATGCGTTCGCTGTTAGCCCTTACATACACGTTTAGACCAGTGCAAAATTGTCCCTAATACGAGTGCACTACTGTCACCGATAAACAGTTGATCGGCGTCACTGGTAGTAAGGTGTATCGGTGGAGAATGCACCGTTATCATCTGTAGTACGGTATGCTGGCGGATGGTGCACTACGGCCACCAGAGAACGGTGGGCTGATGTCACCGGTAGTATAATGTGCTAGTGGGCGATGCACTGTGACTGTTGCATCCCAACTTTGAACTATACTTAGAATTGTCTTTCCCTACAAAAAAAAAGAAAACAAGCAACTCCGAGTATTTGTACATACTAGACAAGGAATGGTTGTTGTTAATGTATTTTTCATTGAATGATGTTGAGCAATATGTACAATTATTCTATTTCGTTGACAATGATTATAACCACAAAATGAACAATAATAAAAATATTTAGTTTTTTTATTTTTTAATCGGTGTAAATAAATATGTTTTCGTGCATAATTATTATTTATTGTTCGATATGAACATTTTGTACATTGATAAAGTGAAACAAGACATTTTCCATGCGGTTTTTCTTGTTGAGACTATTAAAAAAAAAAAAGAAGAAAAATAAGAAATATAAATAAATTAAATTTTCATTAAATAAAAAATAAAAAAAATAAAAGTTACTTTTTGAATTCTTGCACAAATATGTTTATCTAATTCAACAAGTTTATTTGAACGAAATGCACATTCCATACAAGTAAACATTCGTTTTGCTTTTATTATTGGTGTTTTATATAATACTGGTGTTGTGATTGGTTTTAATGAAACATCTGAATGAATTTTTGTTATTTCAGAATAATCATCTGGTCGAAGACGATCATATATAATTTGTTCATAACCTTGTTTATCTTTAATTTTATTCCAAATAGATTTTTGTAAATCTTTCCATTCAATATGACGAAAATCAGTAAAACGTCCTAAAACTTTTTTTGAAACAACAAAACCAAATGTACGTTCATATTCTTCATATGTACGTTCAGCTTCTTCCGATGTCATTTCATAATAACCATCTTGATGTGGTTCAATTTTATGTCGTGCTCGTATATGTCGTAAAGAATCTGTACGCCAATTTGTACGATAAAAACAATATGGACAACGATATGGTTTAAAACCTGTTGGTGTACGAACAGATATTTTTGTTGTTTCATTTGGCATTAATAAACTTTTATCTTTTGGTTCAAATAAATTTTGTCGATCATCTTCAAATATAATTATCGAATCATCTGGATGATCATCAACAATAAGTGAACTATTATCTGATCTATGTGGTTCAATCATTAATAAAGCTGCTGCTTCATCTTCTGTTACATCAACACTACGGGCATCAGCAATACTTAATTTAAGATCATTATCTTGACTTTGTTGACCTTCACCACTACTACCACCAATGCCATCATCATCATCGTCTGTTACACCAGCTAACATACTTTCTTCATCAATACCATTTTCTTGTTTTAACATAAAATGATTATTTACACTTGACATTGATGCTGATATAAGACCATCTAATTGTGGTACATATTCTAAATAACGAAAATTTTTATTAAATTCTTTATTACGACGTTTTATTGATTTTGGACTCATTGATAAACCCATAGCAACGTCATTTTCAGGTGTTTCATGCATTGTTTTATGATGACGTTTAACATCATAACGCCAACGATAACCACGAAAACATAATGCACAATAAAATAAACGATTTGGATTATAATTTGCATGTGAAGAAAAATTTGAATAAACAATTTGTGATGGATCAGGTAAAAGTACTGTACCATCAGCTTGTATTAAACTTGAACGATTATAAAGTGTTTGTGATTTCATTTCACATTTATTTTGTTCATCATGATAATCACCATTTGATTTTTGATAATTTATTTTTGTTGGTGGTTTTATCATAAATTTTGAATAAATTTGATCATCATGTTCATTTGTATGATTTTGTTTTATTTGATTAATACCATTTGTTTGTAAAAATGAATTTGTTTTATTTATTTGTTGTTGCGGTATTTTTTTATTAATAATCATTTTTGTATATGGTTTATTTGGATGATTTATATGAATATGTTGTTCAATAAATTTTGGATGATTGGAACGAAATTGACATAATGAACATTGATAATTACGTTTTGAATCTTGACCATTGATATTAAATTTTGTATCAAGACCACGTTCTTTCATATAAGCATTTATTGTTTGTTCAGCTTCTTCATGAGATAATTGTAAAACATCAAAATTCATATTTGGATGACGTTTTTTAGCATGACACTATTAAATATTAAAAAAAAAACAAGTGAAATATTTTTTGTATAAACCTTATTTTGACTTTTTGTTTTCGTTTATTTGAATTTTCTAATAAAAATTTCAATATGAATTTTATGTCATATGAAGAAAACAATATGAATATGGTAGATTACTCGTAGGAATATGTAGGAAGATTTTTGAATAGAAATTCTTTTTAAAAATATTGACTTTATATTTTCGTGTCTTGTTTCGTTCAGATATGAACAGATACTTTTACTATGATTGAAGTAAAAGATTTGTCTTGCATTTACATTTATTCAAAGAATTATATAAATCAACGAAACAAAACTGATGAAAGAGAGAATCTCTGCAGGCGTCAAGTTGCTTTTCGATTGAGATGATGTTCATTTGATGAGTACTACTTCGCAATAGAAAAGCCTAGAATGGTTTGGTTTTCTGGAGCTTCGTTCTTGAGGTATCGAAATCTAGCTCGTTTTTTTTCAACAAAAACCCATGATCATGTGAAAAATCGACTTTAGACTTCGATCTTTGCACGAACAAGGTTTTTAATGATATTAGTTGATTATGCCGCTAGTATTTTCTTTCTGAAGATGTAAATATAAGAACAAAATTGGCTTTTGCACTTGAAATAATTTCGAATATTTCATTTCTCGAGATAGGAAATACTAGAAATATTACCACTCACTCAATGGACTACTCTCATTAAAAACTTTGTTCATGTTAATTTTGAAGTTGAAATTCGAAAGTCAATTTTTTTACATGATTACAGCTTTTCGTCGAAAAATCTAGTAAAATTTCGATATCTCAAGAGCACGAATTCTCATAAAAACCAGATTATTCTAGACATTTCTATTGCTCACTAGTACTCATCGAGCAACCATCGTCTAGTGATTTGATACTTGGAGATATTTCTTTTTTACATGAAACTGTAATTAAAGAAGTATGAGGAGATTAAATTCTGATCATATTCCATGAGTTGAAATTGTGCTTCGCAAGGCCAAAAACGTAAATGTCCAAGTTTTCAACATTTTGTAGCTGATTAAGACAGTCAGATGAACTAAAGCTTGTATCGCCTATGCCTTACACTGAAAGCAAAAGTGTTGCGAGAATTGAAATCAATTCGAAACCTGTTTTTTTTCGATTTCGTACAATAGTACGAAACCTTTGGAAAAATTTATTATGCACTGAGAAAATGTTTCTAAGAGATTCGTACCGAAGTACGAAACATTTCTTAGGTTTCGTATCGCATTATTATGTTTTCCATGTAGTATGAAGCCTGTTTTGTAATGCCTCATAGCAACCATATTTTGCTTCAATCACTTGGATACATAGGTTTTTAGTCATGCGACATATGACGGTGCTATCGGTTTTAGAGAAAACTGTGTGGTTTTTCTCGGAATCTCTAGAAAACTCTGATGAACACCTTTTTTCAAAATACCATTGGAAAAAGTTCAAAAAATTACCCAATTTCGTATTATGCCATGCTGCTGTGGCATCAACTTCACAAGGAAACAAGATGAATACAATCAAGCATAGATCCTGACGCACACATTTTAACCATGAATCGCCAGTTTGTCACTTAATTTCGATTTCAGTTAGTTTTTCTTCGCTGAAACTCGAATAGAACTCATAATTTTTAGTAAGAAATAGTTGAGTGTTTTTGGCATAATTCACTTTAAGTTTAAGTCCAAAGCTAGCGAAGTCCAGTCAGGGAACTCTTTGGGTGACCATAATGAGTCCATTGTCTCCGGCAGTGAATACAATCCTATCCATCTTAAATATCATATTCATAATCATCATGCTCTAATTGATATATGTAAAAATACTGCGATCAACATGCAACAAATAAAATTTGCTCGAATTCCAGAGAAAGTGCGCCAGGTTTCAAAAATCGTGATGTCACTTATAGCAAATTTTGATCCGTAGAATACAATCAGAGACTAATCGTGGCTCGATTTAACTACAAAAGTCTGAAATCAATGAGAGATCAGAAAACGAACCTGTCAACTCTCATCTCATGAGTCAGCAGATAAAATAGAAAATATTTCTGAAATACCTGAATATACCAACGAAGATTTGCTCGCCAACCACATATTGAACACATAAATGGTTTGATATTAATATGTGTTGCAACATGAAGTTTAAGTTTTGTTAATGTTGGTGATCTAGAAATAAAAATTAAAAAAACTAAAAATTATATCAAAATAATAATTAACTTACGAATGTTCACAATGTGGACAACGAAATTTTTTAAATCGTTGAATAAATAAATGATTTGAATGATTGTTATCATTATTAACTGTTGCTGTCATATCTGATTCTGATAAATCATTTATTTCTTGTTGATATTTCCAAAGACTTCAAAAAAAAAAAAAAAAGAAAACAAATAAAATAAAATAAATTCAAATTAAATTCTTACGCATCTTCTTCATCATCATCAATATCATGTTCGATCATTGAATGTTCATCTTGACTTTCCATATCATCATAATCATTTCCATTCGTATTATCAATACTATCAATAACTTCACCAAAAGCTCGTACTGGATCAATTAAAAGTGCTGATATACCATCATTATCATTATCATCATCATCATCATCATCATGTTGATGAATTTTATTATCTTGATGTAAATAATCTTTTTGTAAAATATGTGGTGGATAATTAGGATGTATTGTACGTTGATGTTTTATGATTTCTTTTGACCAATGACTTGTAAATAAACAATATTTACATTGTAAAATTTTTGTTGATTCATCATTTATTACTGGTGTTAATGATGTACGTCTTATTACTGACGCTGAATTTGTTTGTTGTGGTGGTAATGATTTAACTTTAACACGAAATTTATAATTTCCTGTTGCTGATGGTGGTAATGGTACATCAGCATCAAGTTTATCAACAAAACGGCCAGCTTGTGAATGACTTATTTCATGTTTTTTACGTATATGTGCTGTACAATCATGAAAATTCTATAGAAAATTTTCAATTAAAAAAATAATAAAAGAATTTCTACTCATTGAAAATTACTTTATAAGTTAAACGACACATTTTACATTGAAAATTTTTTTTATATGGTTGCATTGATTGATTTGTTGGTGAATAAAATGAATTATCTGTATTTGGTGAAGAATTTATTATAGGTAATAATGATGGTGAAGAGATGGGTGTGACTATAGAAAAAAAAAGTAATGAGTTTTCTTTTTCTTTCAGATTGTTTCAATAAAAAATTTAATTCTTTTTTTTTTTTTGTTATTTTTTCTTTACCTTTTGTTGCTGTTGGTGATCCATTTTTAGGTGCTATTGGTCGTTGTTGACTTAGAATAGAATGAAGTACATTTGGATTTCGTTTAGAAATATTAATTAAATTTGATGGATCTTTTGAAATGACATTAATGTTTGTATTTTCATCACTGATGACAGGTATGGATGAATCATCTATTATAGTTGAAATAAATCTTGTTGGATTTTTATCTGATGTAGAAATACGATTGAAAAATTGATTAGAATCTAATTAAAGGAGCGAGAAAAAAAAAGTACATCATACTAATGAGTTAATAAGAAAAAAAAGAAGAAAACCTGATTCAACATTGAATGGCATCTGTTGGTTGAATAATGTTGGCAATTGTCGAGGCACTTGAGAAACAATCTATAGTCTTTTTTTTAGACAAAAAAGTTGAAATAAAAGAAAAACAAATTACCTGATGACTAAAAGCTGGCTTACGTCGGGATCGTTGTTTTTCAGGTTGTAGTAACGATGAAGCATTTTTTGGTGGTGCTTCACTTTTACTAGCAGTTTCTATATTTGACCAGAGAAAAAACAACGATAATTATTATTTAATAAATTAATAATGAACAAACCTTCACTGTGTGCTTCATTCAAATGGCTAATTAATTCTGGCAAGCTCTTTCCATTGAAGCTGCATTCAGGACAAATGAACGCCGTACCGTCCGCATCGACGGTCGAGTCCATCATCATATTGTCGAAACGTATATAGTTGTCTATCTAATCTAAAATATACAAGGTACGATATAGTGAAGTGACAACAGCGAAATAGAGTTGACCGTCGACGCGGTTGCCTTCTTCCTCTCTCTCTCTCTCTCTTTTCCGATATGATGATTGTGCTTATGTATATGTGTATGTGCCGCGTGTATGCTTCTGCTGTCTGCCTGGTCGAAGAAGGAAAAAAAAGAATAAACGCATGTGTATATATGTGTGTCGAGCTGGTGCAGGCAGACTAAACGACAAGGCGAATGCAGCAGCAGAAGAGTCTATATTGTTGGAATCACTCTTCTCTATATAGAACTATAGAAGAAAAAAAAACAGCAAAGTAAAGTATAAGAGCGTTTATTTTCAAATCAATAAAACTGGTTTATTTTATTCTCTTCCGATATATGTGTAGGCTTTTTTTTTTTTATTTAATAGATAGCTTTTTCAAAGGACGATAAGTAACAAATGTGTTTGTATGTCTCCCCACATATATATATATTCATAAATATATTTTTCTTCATTTCAAATAAGTAACAGAACACATACCTTAGCAATTTGTCAGGTCTTCTTATTTTTTTGCTTCACCGTATGTAATACAAAACGAGTATATTTAGTGTCTACCAAGGTTCGCTCGCAACGCGTTTTTGCACCCCCCGTCCGACAGAAATTGCAGTTTGCTTCGGCGGAAAGTAAAGTCGTTGATTTCTTGCCTGTTCTGCTTTCTTGCATTTAAGGAACACTATACACATGTGCGTAAGCATAGACATATGTGCGAATCAGCTATAGGCGTCGCTGGAGCAAAGAGAAGTATTCACACGTCGAACATTACATGATGATGATGATGAAAATCTATGATACTAGTCATGCTATAGCTTATATTCGATTAGAAAATTATAAAAAAATCTAACCATTGGCCTTGGCTAGTCGGTGTGGTTTCTTTTGCATTTCCGAAACATAACGTCTGTCAAAGATGACATATTCAAGACTGAGAGATTAGAAAGACAGATGCCGTTTGCCACGATAATATTGAAAAAAAAAAAGTCCAGAAAGAAATAGAAGACAAGTAACACATACGAATAGAAAACAGAAGAATATTACTATAGTTGTTTTATGTACTGTCCCTCTTTCTAATAAACCAATCAAGTATGTCTAACTGAACATACATATGTATATATACATTAAAGAACGAATGGTGACAATACAACGAACAAAAACAAATAAAAATAACTACTATCACATCGTGCCACTTTTCTACTTTGACCGTTCTCTCGTTTTTCTTTCTAATTTTCTTTCGATTTCTATGTTTTCGTCATCGTGGATAACATATTAATTATAGCTACGAAGCGATGAAAAAAAAATACTTTTCTCTTTTTTTCTCGCTGCTCAATTCTTAGTATTTACTGATATGTTTGAATGAAATTTTCTATTTATCTGTTTGGTTTTTTTGGCATTTATGAAGAAAAAAAGTTATCGAAAAAAATAAATAAATACTATACTATTATTTATTTAAGATAGATCACAATTAAATCTATTCATTTAGATTGCAACGATGTACTAGCCTACTTTGTATGAATCTATGTTTGTATGTGAAAATATACACTTGTTATTCTTCGAAGACGTAAAGGTCATGATTGCTACTCTTAGTTGCTGACTGAATGCGTTCTCTCTCGCCCTTTTCTATTCTCCTTTCGTTCGTTCGCTCATCTTATAGATTGCTACTGCTAGCACAAAAACTACTACACCATCATAGTAGGAGGTATGCCGTAAAGCAAGAGAACATGCCTTTTCGTTCGCTAGACTATAAGCACAAGCATGTACTCGCTTACATTTATACTAAAATGCAATGCATGTGTTTCGTCCGTTCGTTGTGCTATATGGACGACCGAACGAATGAATGTGAATCGGATGGACGAGAGAGAGAGAGAGAGTATAAGTAACGAACGAACAAACAAACGACTATTATCATCCTGTCAGATGCCTCCCGAAGCAATGGTCGATAGACTAACTGAAAGCGTGCATACGGCGTCAACTTTTCTCTTTTGTTTGTCCGTATTCTCGGCTCAGGTAGATGTGAGTGTATGTGTATGTGAAAGTATGAGAGTGAATAGATGTATGTGCATGAATATATGTGCTGCTAGATGCGAAAAAGAAGAACTGACGAATAGAGTGATGATTGACGATCGCATCAATGTAAGACATTGGGAGAAACAGCAGAAGGCAACAGGAGGAGGGATACGAGCCTTTACCTTAGTAATAACGTGATCAAGAAAATTGATGTTAAAAATATTGATGTTCTAGACTACGGATAGATGTATGCAACACATAATGTGTCATCTAATACATATCAATGACTGCTTTGTCATAGAAAAGAAAAGAAGAAAAAAAAAGGTGTTATATATGTCTATATTAACGTTCAATTAAAGACTCTTAATCAAAAGCAATTTTTTTTCAAATTGAAATTCTTCATATTAAGTTTTCCGTATGTTAGAAACAAAAAGACTTTAGATTTTATATTAATATAAATAAAATTTCTTACAGGAAATATATTTTCAATCAAGAAATGGTCATACTTTATTTTTTAGGTTAATTGGAAGATTGTGCTTGCTATCTAATGATAGAGATTTCTTCTATATTAGTAAAAATATAAACAAATCATTGAAATATGTGTTCAATTGACACGAGACAATATGCAGATGTTAGATAGACTTCTCTATTTGAGAGATCATAAGTCCAATTTGTTTAACAAATTGAAAGGAAAGAAAACATTTTTTTTTTGTAAATAACTACAAAAATTTATTTTATTCGGGAAAAACAATGATATTTGAATATCTGTGAGGTGCAAAAAAAAATACAATTTTTTTTTTCGATTTTTTTTTGAAATATGGTTAAATAGAGCTCAACAAGCTTAGTAAGAATATGTATTTTAATAAGTTTGGTTGATAGCTCACACTGGTTCATTTTTTCTAAGAGTCTTTTGTTTTCAGATTCAACAACTGATACACTTTTTTGATTGTAAAAAAAAAAAAAATTTCCATTTCATGGAAATATTAAAACCAATATGCTTAGATTCGGCATGAAAAATTGAGTCGGTGTGACTAATATTAAAATTAGTCTCACGGACTCAATTTTTCATGGCAAATCTGAATATATCAATTTTAAAATCCGAATGAAGTGGAAAATTATTTTTATGATAAAAAAAAGTGTCAATATATTCAATATGAACAAACGTACTTCTATAAGAAATGAACCATTCAAGACTATCAACACATCTAAATAAAATACATATTCTTACTTAGCTTGTAAAGCCACATTTTAGAAAAAAACCGAAAAAAAAACTTGTTCAAATTTCGCATTTTTTTTTGCATCTTTATGTTTTTTGTTTTTAATCAATAATATCAAATAGAAATTGTCCTTGTTTAAAATCAAAACCTGCACTAATTTGTAATTTCATTCCTGATTTTACATGAATTGGTTTAGGCAAAAGATGAACACCTTGTTTTGAATAATTTACCCAAGAATCATTTTCATTTTCAATACCAGTCGTTAACCATATATTGTCATTTAATTCATAATCAATCCAAAATGCAATACCATTACAAATACCATTTTCAATAAATGAAATTTCTAAAGTTTTCTTTTCAATTTGATCATTATAATTTTTTTCAAAATTAATTTCCATAAGATCAATTATTTTTGAAAGTGTCGGCTTTTTTGATGAATATTCAAATAATGATTGAGGTTCAATTGTTTCATCAACATTTAATGATGCTTCCATAATTTGTTCATCGAATGGTGTTAAATCAAATTGACAACATTGTTTAACTGGTGAACGTATTTTATGTAAATTATTAAATTCTAATGCTATACAACGTAAACGTGATTTTCGTGGACATATTTTTATATTTGAATGAAAATATGAACGATATTTTTGTAGAAGATAATAATAATGAAGATTATCCCATGGTAATATTGATGTTGTAAAAAATGGTTCAGATAAAATCATATCAATTGTTTGAAAATCTATTTTATCTTTATCTAATGATGAAATAATTCGATAATTTAATTTTGTTGATGAATTTAAAAGTATTGCTTCTAAACAACGATTTATATGAATATTTGATGATTGTAATATAATTAATTCTATATTTGGATACATATCAAGTACGAGTAATGGAAGTAGAAGACCATCACCAAAATATAAACAACAGTTTATAGATGAATTAGAAAAAGATTTTTCTAAAACTTCAATATATTTATTACGACGTTTGTCACTATTGAATGCAGCCATAGCTGAACGACTAAGAATAGCTGGTGTAAATGAACGAGGAGGAAATTGAGATGTACCAACATCAAAATAAAAACTATATTCATCATGAAAACAATATAGAGATACCTAATATGTAAAGAAAAAAAAAAGAAAGTTTATTAAATACATTCGCGACAATGTAACCCACTGATGGGTCATACGATAGTATATAGTGAGTAGTCAGTCATAAAACAAAAAGATTCTCAGAAATTTTGTTCGCCTATCAGACTTTGTTAAGTTATCTGCATTGATCATTTTAATTAAAAAAATTAGATTCGAATAATAAATTATGTTGCTCGAATCGAAGAATTAATAGAAAAATATCTATTATGGAAACCGGAGTGGAAATAAACCGAAGGTATGAATATGAGATTGAAAGTAGACTCATACTCACACCCATCATCTTCTATTGAGTAACATTTTGTCTAAGTATATGTTTGAATGATCCTATTCTTTTTTTCTTTACTTAATAAATATTTTTTATTAATGCTATAGATGATTGTCGGAGACTTTCTCTTGTCAAGATTTTTTTCTATCGTCCTGAGTTAAAATACTAAAAAATGTCATAGCTTCAGTGATAGATCAATTTGATGTTTTCCACTATTTTGACGTTAGCAGTACTATTTAATTTTCAAAGTAAAATTCTTTTGGGTGACTCTCCATGGAGATATCCAAT